AGTGGACGTGTGGAAAGCGTACCGAACCGAACCGCACCGAACATTAGGATACCGAAGTAAACCGAAGTAAACCCAAACCGAACCGGACCGAACCGCAACACCCATGTACTTACTAACCCTTCCCTTGACCCTCCAAGTATGGTCTTCCTACACGCTCTCTACAAATGGCCTCTTCACATCCGCCCTAGACTCTCCACCCCTAAACCCACACAAACCTTAAATCCTAAACCCTGGACCCCATGTATACACCAAAGCCAGAATCAAAATACGGGTGACCACGTTTCGAGAGACTCCAAACCCCCCACTGCTACACACTCTAGACACCAACCCCAACCCATAAATCTTACACACCCTAGGCCCGAGCTCCCTCTATCTAGTTCAGGAAATTTGGAGAAATGCGGTAAAAGGGGTAAAAGGTAAGCCCTAAATCCTGAATACCCGACCTCCCTCGCAACACGAAGGCACCTGAAGCTCCCCTAAACCCTGAAGCTCCGATGTTTGTCTAGCCTGCCAGATGATCACCCATCATGACGCATCTTTGCCAAACATATTAAACATGAGCTACAGTCACCATTACCCAGATAACTAATGGACATGGTTTCCTGATTAAGAAAAATGTCAAGGACTACCCTCAATCCCCACACCCAGAATCCTAAACTCCAAAAAACCTACACCACAAACCCCAAACCCAAACCCCCTAACCCTAAACCCCAAACTCTGACCCCTAAACCCAACACCCCAAGCCCCTAAACCCTAAAACGTAGATCCCCGAAACCCCCGTGATCGCAGCCCATGCGCTAGCCGGAGGCGGGCTTGGCTCTGGACCTGGACAGCCAAACCCTGGTGTGAGGAGGATATGGAGCATAAAAGGGGCTGTATAGCGTTTAGGGTTTAGGGTTTGGGCTTTAGGGTCTGAACTCCTTAAAATGGGTTCTATAGGGTTTACGGTTTAGCGTTTTTAGCCTCGACTCCCTCAGGGGGGTTGTTTAGGGGATTGTACAGGGGAATATTACAGGGGGCACCAAGGGGGATACCAGGAGCCAGGCTGTAGCCCATCTGGCGGGGTTCAGGGCTTACAGGGTTTGGGGCTGATGGCTGCGCTGTGGGTATGGGGCCTAGCGTTTGGAGTGGAGGGCTTAGTTTGTTATAGGCGCCTTCTTCCTGCGCGGAGAAACCCAGCGAGGCTTGATTTAGGGTTTGGGGTGTAAGGTTTCGCGTTTGTGGTTTAGCAGGATATGTGTTTCCAGAGGTTACCGGGCTCTTTAGGAAGGGCGGGGTTTAGGGGCTGTAAGGCTTACATAAGGCTATATGGGGTCTTATAGGAAAAAACAAGCTCATGATTTCGAGTGTAACGCTTCCAAAAAAAGAGGGGGTCCCCTTTTGCCGTCCGAAGAATAGTCTCGCAGTATTTGGGGTTTAAGTCTAGGGTTCAGTGTTTAGGATGTAACGCGATCCTTGTTTGTCTTTGACGACTCCCATTCAGTGCGGACTCGAGATCTTATGGGGAGGCTAGGCCCTCATTCACACTGCAACGGATAATGGCATGCACGGTTGAAACCGAGCTCAAGGATTGGGGCAGCCAAGGTTTAGGATTCAGGGTTTAGGGGTCCTTGAAACATTGCCGCGGGGTGCCAAGTTAATCTGGACGAGAGAATGGGTGGGGGTTGAATTACCTGCCCTCATCTCAGCCGTAGGCCTTAAAATCCCAAAGCCTGGCTGCTGAGTTCCCTGGTCGCCAAAACTCACCTTTGGTACGTTTAGAGCAAGATTATTGCAGCAGTTCGTGTGGACGTGAAAGGTTACCTGCTCAGCTGCTAAGACCTCTACACAACACCCAGAACCCTAAACCTTCAATCCCTGCTTGCAGGATCCCCGTATAGCACCTCTCTGTACATGAACATGTATCTGATTGTCCATGTATCATTGAACATGATTTCACTGTCGACAACCATGAAATCTATACATATGTATATATATATACACATAAATATATATATATATTTATTTATACACGTAAATCAACCCCTATCTGAGCTTTAGTCTAAACTGCCCCTTAATAAGCCGCATAATACTCCCCTCTATAACCCCACGTTAAGGGGTTTAGGCTATAGCTCATGTAGCCCCTCATGTCATAAGCCCCTTCAAAGGGGTTGTAGGAATATGCGTAAAACTAAACCCTAAACTCTGAAGGGGTTGTAGGAAAATCCATAAATAGCAGGAACTGGAAGCCGGCGCCTGAGCCGGACGCACCAATCGGGCCCACCACGTACCTTCAAAGGACTTCCTAAGTAATCCCTTCCCTCCAACTCTAACGCCTAAACCCGAAACCCCAAACCCCTAGGGATTAGATTTAGGAATCCATTCCTTCTAACCTTCAAACCCACCGCGTCTGCGCTTGCAAGTGCTCCCTATAAGAATGGTAGAGGCTGCTTGGGGGTTTGTCGCGAAACACGGATTGAGATCCGCGCGCTTCAAAAGACTCTATCTCCGGAGTAGGGCTTGGGTCTACCTAAACCCCAAAGTATGTAAAATAATAGCCTAAACCCATAATAATGACCATAAAGGCCATTATTTTACAATCTTTTACATACTTTTGGGGTTTAGGTAGGGCTCAAGGGTATGGATTTCCAGGAATTGCAGGTAGACCTTCCAACGGAGCAAGAGCAACGCCAGCGATGGGCAGAGACAACATCTATGACCTCCTGTCTCCTAAACCCTAAACCCTGAATCCTACACCCTAAACCCTAAACCCTAAACCCTAGAGCCTATACTCTGAGCCGTCTCGCGTAGCGTTGTAGAGCCCTGTCTGAACTACCATAAATAAGAAGGTTCCTGATCGAAATATACTACTTTTACAAGAGCCACTAGGGTTGAAGGTTTAGGGTTGTGTTTGGACGTGCTTATGCGGCCGAAAGATGGCCGGTAGGCCCATGCAGGATGTGTGGAACGAGGTTCTGCCCTTACAAACTTTCAAAATTTGAGCCAACAGCCAACCAACCGGTGAAGCCGTCAAGCCTCTTATGATCCCCACATATACCCCAGCTATGTACTCCCTATATTCACTCCACCACTTGTCCCTCAAGCACAGGTCGGTTTACTAACTAGGGTAATGTAGAAACCTGAATCATTACCAATATTATGGTCCTAGAATCCTTGTATAACTATAATATGGTTCCGCATACCCATTTCAGGACCAAGTATACTCTATGTAGCTGGATGGGCCCCGCCGGTCCCCACGCCAAACCCTAAACCCTAAACAGCGATTTTCGTAGGACATTGGTGAAATCATGTGATGACTCTGCGCGCGCTCGAGGTTCCTTAGTCCACGGCCACACGCCTCCCAAGTCCTGCAGTTGAAGTGACGGGTATAGACCGCCCACCCAAAACTCCAAACCTAGATTGACTCCAAGCCGCGCCCGCAAGGTTTCGAAGGATTCGGCCGGTGACGCGGACGAGACCGTTTCTGGGCCGGAATCCTGGATGCTGTGTGAGCAGGCAAAAGTGCGAAGCTAACGAGCCAGCCTCGGCCAGCAGACGATCAAGGGTTCCATGTGTGGAGGCCTCATCGCAGCCATAGCAAACATCCCACAGCGAATAAGCCAAACCAGCTAATGCCCAGGCACAGTGCTCTCCACGTCGGAGCCCATGCCGGCCCCGTTATCCTGAACCACGGCAGCATTGGCACGCAGCTTGCAAGAAAGGTGTTGAGGGTATGTAGGGTTGAGGCTTCAGGGGTGTGGGTTTGGGGTTTAGGGTCTATTACAAGGTCCAGCCGAGCCCTGAACAGTTCACCCGAGGACCTCCACAGCGCTCGGCGCTGAATCTGCATCCTTGGATGCACAAATAGTAGGGTAGCATCGGTATAGCCGGAATAAAGACGATATAGACATAAGCAAGGGGACCGGTGGCAAGCCCTCAGAAGCCTGGGATGAGCATTTGGAATGGCGACTGTCGCCGTGGTTTGGATGGGGCATATGTTAACATAAGCAAAGAGGCCGCTGGTACCAAATCCAGCAGCGTGGCCAGCGGCAGGTTTTCCACGCCTGGGATGAGCAACTGGAAGGGCGGCAGTCGCTGCAGCTTTGATGGGGCATGTGTTAGCACAAACAGAGGGGCCAGCGGCATGCCGTGAATCATAGGCGGCAGCTCAGGCGCATCCTGGGATGAGCAGGTGTAAGGGCGATAGTTGCTCGAGCTTTGACAAAGTTTATGTTAACACAAGCAAAGGGGCCGCTGGCGGCAAATACTCGAGGGTATCCTTGGGTGAATGAGCATCGGGCCACGATCACGGCAAGAGGGAAGCATTGCAGGACAAGCAGCATTGTCGGACGAGTTGCCAGGGGGTGCCTGGAACACGTCAATAAACCACATGCAACAAAAGTGAACATGTCAAGAATCCACAGGCCTCGCCAGGCGGCGTATTCACCGACATGGCCTAGCTGCATACATCAAAGCGAAAGTCAGAGTACCAACGCGCAAGCAATCCTTGGCAAACCCTACAATTCAAAGACCCCGGCGGGCAATGCGAACAACACTGCAAAGAGGGCCAGCATGGCTTCGCAGGTTGTGAGGGGGGACGTGGCTGCTACGGGCACTACCTTCTTGGAGACTGAGAGGGACAAAGCGCCGCATCTAAATCTCGCCTGGGTGCATGGAGATGCGATCAACTAGCTTAGATTGACATGTATACCGATGATTCGCTGAATGCTTGTAATGTCCGAGCTCCTGGAAATCTAAATATATGAGTTCCCGAACAGCATCCACCGGCACATGCCCGGACCAGTGAATGCCAAAACACGGTGACGGCGCCCCTAAGGGGTCGTGCGTTTAAACACATTTTGTTGATTGCTTTGGTGCGGCGGATGCGCGAAACTGGGAAAATATGCGCATTTCGTAGCTCGAATGCTGTTAAGCAGGTACGCGAAGTGCTAGAAGCGGCGAGAAACTTTTCGGATGTTTTGCGTTTTACAAGGTGTTTAGTGCGATTTCGAAGGATTTTTTGTTAGGGGAACTGTCGCTAGTCGAAGTTTCGTGAAGTGCTTGTCTTGGAAAATCTGCGTTTCGCTACAGCGGCGGCGCAATTTTGAGGTCTTTCTGAGGCTCGTGGTTTGGGGTTTTGCAAGAGGCCTTTTCTGGTTTCACAATTTGAAGGCAGGAGAAGCCGCAAGATATGCCAACCCTGAAGCCCAAAGCCAGAGACCTTAATCGTAAACCCTAATCCCGAAAGCTTAAGTCGTACACGCTCAACCGCAAACTACAAACCCGAAATCGTAAAGGGTTAGCCCGAAACCCTGAACCCTAAGCGGAGGGACATGCTGGGTTTTGGTCAGGCTTGTCTGGCAAGGTCCCACCCAAAATGGCAGTTTCCCTAAATAGGGGGACCCGAAAACACCACAGCCCTTTATGGGGACCACGAAAAAAGTACTCATAATGTTGGGAAACCTTCCAATTCCACACTGAGAAAAGGAACAAAGACTCAGGCGCCGCTCTCGAGGTTGAAGGGAAGAGGCTCTCCTGTGCTGATGGGGGCTCAGGGTTTAAGGCATGTACCTAGAGAGCCCACTGCCCTTTAATATAAAGAATTTAGTACCCTACATGGTACTAGGATCCCTAAATATGGTTCAAGATAAACATAGCGCAAAAATGGGGGGGCGCCAGGGTGGCCCACCCTCCTCCTTAAAGGTTGGGCTTCCTGAGGGTTTTGCATTTCAGGGGTCTGCGCTTGAAGCCAGAGACCCGAATGTAGATATATAGGGGTTATATAGGGATTATAGTGGAAGAGAAAAGGGAAATTACTATTCACGGTTTAAGGAGTCGTTAATGTAGACCCATGCTTAATAAATCCTCTCCTTGTAAGGGCCTACAAGTCGGACTGGTTCTGCAGACCTGGATGCTTGCAGCATCTCTACTCGAGGAGGGCCGCTGTCTGAGGGAACACGCTGCGTCCCACACAAACCTTGATCTAACTCTAAAACCAGGGGTTACATAACCCCCTATATAATTTAGACTATGGCTCAGATGGGCATACGTGGGTATTCCTTCGCACGCCGTCCGTGCGGTGGCCGACTAGCAGAAGTCAACGGTCGAAACGACTTTAAGCAGGACATGCTCTATCTAATTTTCAAGTTCGGTTCCCCCCAAATCGAAAGCTCTTAACCTTTTCTTCGTTCAGAGCCCCTGAAGACCCCACTGTGAAGTCGTTCCCACGCCTATCGGTCCGAGCGGGGCAACATGAAGAAACCAAGAAGCCGGCATCCACCCAGTCTTACTCTCGAAGTTGGTGTCATTGTCCGCAGCCAAGGAGGCCTTCATCGACTCAAATGTTAGCTCTCGCACACTAAGGGCCCCCAGATAGACCAGAATCTCTATTGAAAGGAAATGGGGTCTCATAGTGAAGCGGAATCCTCCTCATGAGGGCAGTCCTTCAGCAAGGATTTGCATGGTGTAGAGAGTTCCCTGCCCAAGGATTTAGCATTGCTGAAGCTGAGTCGTCAGTTGGGCCTTGAAGCCAATGTTCCCGAAACTATAAGTCCCCACATGGTCACAAACCTTAGCTGCTTGAGCCGTGAAATCCTAGACACGTGGGCATCCCTGCCAACGAGCATTAAACCTTGAACTTCAATCCCCTAATTATCAACCCTCAACGCCTGAACTGCTATTTAGCGGTAGTCCCAGCAACTAATGCCAGATTCTTTTTATGAAATAACCCTGAAAGGAAGCCTATCAACATAATGCCTGAGCAGACTCTAGCCGCAGCGTGCAGTATCTTCAGCTCTTTTGGTGCATAGGGTATGATAAGAAACCCAGAGTGCTTAACGGTTACCACAGGATAGTATTCGCATCCTCAAACCAGCCTCCTTCTATCCCAAAAGCTCGGTGAACCTTGAAGCCCCGTAATCATCAACTCTGCGCTGCTGAAACTTTTAATGAAGCCCTATAGCCCTACACATCTTAAAGCTCCCAAAACCCTAAACCCTAAGGCCCCCCCCCATGGCCAGCAGCATCGGCGTGGCACTTGCTGCCGTGGCGGAGGCGGCGACGAAGCGCGCTGCGAGGCGCTGCCGCAGTGCCTATTAGTGTTGCGTGCTGATTAGTGTAGGGGTCCCCCCCCAAACGAATCTGGATCCTAGCTGGAGGAGGATTTCTGGAGCGCAGGATATGCTTTTAACTAATTGACGAATGGGATGGTTTCAGGAACTCAGAATCTGTACTAAACTAACTTCGATGGAGGAGAGTGAGCTCGGAATCGTTTTCAGATTAAATTCAATAGGAGGAGCCCTGCGGAGCTCAGTAGCTATTCCAACGTCAATTCAATTTGGAAGGAAAGGCTTCTGCTTCCTGGAGTCTCTAGGGGGCCCGAAATTTCGGATAGTTGAGCACCAAGGCAGCTGCTGGAGTATCCCCTTGCAAAAAATGATTGACTGGCCTCCTCGAATAAGCGGTTTAATGAAATAGTTTGGGACCTGGCCTGAAAATCCTGAAGCTTAAGATGTTTGAGGGAAACATTCAAATTTAACTTTCTTGTGAGAGCAGCTTGTTCAGGAAAGCAAATTAATGTTCCGTCTACCTAGTTGCTTTCAGAAAATTATATCAGGCCGCGCAACTTGGCACCAGTCAGGGCCCTCAAACGAATTAGGAATGATTTCGGCCAAGCTTCGCACAATTAAGCCCTCCCCCCCCCGCACTGATCGGGACCAAACATTCAGGGTTTAGGGCCAATTAAACTAATATGGGGCCTAGATAATTACCAGTATCACTTTGCTTTTAGGGTTGCCAGTATCACTTTGCTTTTAGGGTTTAGGACTTTGCATGCTTTTCCTAGACGTCCCAAATACCAATACTAATGGACGTAGCCCCTAAATTCTGGATATAAAGTCAGGTTTAGGTGGGTGGGGGTGTTGCAGGGTTAGTGTAGGGTTCAGCGCTTAACGTTTCGGTTTCAAGACTCAGGGTTGTTGGTGTAGGGAATTTTGTCTAAGAGGGTTGAAGATCTAAGGTTTAGGGTTTATGCATCTCTGAGTATCTTGCTGAGGCGCATGGGGGCGAGGGCTTCAATCGCTTCCCTTCTGTCAAACTACATGCACCTTGGAGGCAGATTCTCCCTTGTTGAGGTTTAGGTTCAGGGCTCACCTAGACCCCCCAAGTACTTAGTATCCCCAAATAGAAGCTACATAGACCCTATGTCAGGGTATTTGGGGGGTCTCGGCAAGGTTTTGGGGCTTAGGGTTACATTTGGACATCTGGGGAGCTGCCTGGACGATTCTTTTAAATCAGGAAGGTTTTCTGTGTTGCTGCTAAGGAACTTGATTATGAAATTGCTATAACTAATAATTAAGGACACCCTTCTAACCATATATCCATACTACGGTAATTCAAAATTACGTGCCTTCACAGCAGCCCATTTTTAGGGTGAGAGACTTTTGCTAGCCTTTCTAAACCCTTACAGACCGAAACCCTAACCTCAACGCTTACCCTAAACCTCAGCCCTAAACACTAAACCCTAAACCCTACGCTAGGCAGGCGCTGCCTCGAGCATTGACAGCGCGATGCGACAGCGACGGAAATCACTGTCAACCGCGATCTGCCAAGCAAAATACCTTTGCGGCTTTGTCTGGGCTTATTGCCATTACTTAGTTGTTTTGTTTTGGGGTGGTCATTTTATTTTGAACATTTTAATTTAAGATTAAGGCAATTCGGGAACCCTAAGCAATGGTAAGTTTATATGGGCATAAGGGTTTCAATTACTATAATAAGGAGACCCGCATCATGTAGAATAAGACGTGATATGGTAAGTTAAACTAAGTTCCGTAACAGCAACCCAGCTGTTCTAGGTAGTGAGGGGATATCAGATACCCCAGCCCCTATAACGAGGACGCTATAGCTGTCCCAATTTTAGGAGGCGGGATTACGGAATTCCCTTGCTACCAGGGACCAAATCTTCAATCCTTTTTTCTCCAATATGCTGTCATGCCTGCACCCCTTGTGAAAGTGACTCAGGGATGTACAACTCTCCTGCCACTTTGCCCCGCGCTTTACTCTTTGATGTTGCTGGTGCGTAACAAGCAGTGGGGTCTCAAACCTAAACCATAAAAACCATAAACCTAAACAGTAAGTCATTGCAAGCTCTTTTCAGATCCTTCAGCACTACTCCTTTTGGCCCATCAGTGCCTCCTGGAAGAGTCTTGAAACGTTATCCCCTTAGCCCCGTAATGGTTCTTGATCTGAAGTCGTTCAAGATTGTGCAGTATGGGCGCTTAATCCTGGGATCTGTGCATACATGTACGCTCAAGGGCCCGTGGAATAATGTTCCCTCAAGGCGGCTAAGAGACCATGTCCTGATCTGGTGCGACGTGAGACTTCTCGAAGCTAGTTAAACATATCACCTAACACTACTATTCTGTGATAGCCAGCCCTAGGGCTCCCCGTTACCTAAATAGTCGGTTGCTAAATATAGGGTATATAAAACCAAGAGCCGATTATTTAAAGTGACTGAAGCCCTACTAGGGCAGTATAAGACACTGAAGATATTGTCTGGCTATTTCTGTGTAGACGAAGACCATTGGGTGTGTAGGGATCCTAAAAAGCTTCGGAAACAGCGGCCCCAAAACCTAAGACCCGACATTCTCCAGTCAAAGCTCTGAAGCCCTCTCCCCAATGCCCAACAAAATAATTCAGTAAGGGCTCAAAGTAGCCGGAAAGCCTTTTATAGTATGGTACCCCGTGAGTAGACAGAATATGGCTTTGGGTATACTATACTAATATCCCCATCTACCCCACATATTCTACCTACTTAAGGGGCGCTATATGGTTTTTGGGCCCCAAATCCTCAAAATATGAGTTCTTAGAGCCTCAGGGATTCTCAAGTCAGGTACGTGTCCGGATCCTTTGGCAGCATGAAGCCCAGCACAAAACCCACCGCACGACCTTCGGAAGTCTTTGCCATCAAGCATGTCTCCTGGGCAGGCTTTAGGGTTTAGGATTTTGGGCTGAGGGTTGAAACCTGCCAGTACCCTCAATGTAGAAGTTGAGCTGACAATAAAGCATCTCCACCAGAACTTGTTTTGCGTTTTTGGTCTGCGGAGAGGGGAGGTGGCAATAGTATACCAAGGGGTTGGGGTAGGACCAGGTAGTGCAGCGCGTAGTACTAGTAGTACAAAAGGGAAGGCATCTATTAAAATTGGGAGATTTTCGGGCGGACAATATAAGTATTCTCACGAAATTGTCACCCCTTTATTATTGTCGCGGGAACTTGTTTTTCGGGGTCCGAACTTGTTAGACAGCAAACGTAGTCTTCCGGGATTTTCTGGCTCGGCGACGATATTATATTGCCAAACCTTTCATTAATGTTAGCTCCACATTACACACATTGGGATCCTGAGCGTGCTAGCATTGTTGTTTTTACATCTTCGGGAGAATATGGTGGATCCTTAATCTATTGCTTGGTTCCCAGGGCACTATTTGTATAATTAAAGGTTGACGGGCCTGATATTGCGAACCCCCTGCAGAGCTAGTTG